ACTCATGTTGGCACTTGGATTTAGAGAAAGGAACATCAGGAGGGGAATAATGAAGAACTTTTGCATGGTCTTTTTCAAGCATAACTAGAAAATAGGAGAGATGCTCCAAAAGTAATGCTTCCTATTCTATTTTGTTGGCCCAGGACGTCAGAGGTGGATGTTGATGGTACGGCAGTACTGACTGAACCTTCCCACCAATCCCATTATCCGTGTTGTTGCGGTGGGACAGATGGCAGGAGAGGGGCAGTCTAACAGAGTGGCACCTGACACGGAAATGTGTCTGAAGCAAAGAGGTGTCATTTAATTCCATCATGTGCAAACAACGGCACCCCCTGGCGTTTGTCAGTGCTGGCTAAACATTTATGGAGACCAAATAGTGAATGTGAGCACAGTGAGGAGAGGGTGGTGCATTTCAGCAGTGGTGACAGTGACATGAAAGACAAGACATATTCCACATGGCCATGCAGATTTGTATAAGCATGGCAAGCAGGCTCCTGTTCATCGCTGGTGCAAATGCATTGCTAATGGTGATGACTGCACTGAAAAATAGTGCTTTGTAGCTGAGAATTTGCTCTATCAAATAGTGTTACTGTGTTCTTTTTATCTGCTGTAGTTTCCATGGAAATAAATAGGAGGCATTACTTTTGGAGTAACCTACGTATGCCAGCTGAACTATAGTGTTTTATTTCTGAGCACTGGTGTCCTCAGAAACCTGCTTTTTGCATGTGCAGTGCAGTGGCAATGTTGACAATCATACTGCTAAAAACAAATGTCATGCTTTAAAAAGCTGTGGGCTGCCTCACCCTTTGTGGTTTCCAGAAACTGGTAGAAAAAAAAAAGCTGCTTCAGCAAATTGACACAAGAGACAGATAACTTGGCTGAACTGAAGGAAAACTTTAATGCAAAAAAATTCAAAATGGGACCTCCAAGCTGTTTCTAGCAGCTCCATACACTGTTAGTGTGCCAAAGCACATTTGCAGTGCTGAGAGTGTCCTGCCTGATACAGCTCTAAACAACCAGGCAGCCCCACAGTTTCCACTTTGAATCCTTTCTGGCCTTGAAGATGAAGGGGTTCAGATAACAGCTGGATTTTGCTTAAGTGCATGAGGCAGCTTTCCGTAAGCTCAGGCACTGCAGATAGGTGCAGATGAGGAATGTGGTGTTTCTGGACAGTGGGGAGAGATGTAGGCTCCTTGCACAGCAGGATCAGAATCACTGAGCTCTTCTAATGAGGAACAACCCAAGTGGAGGTTTGAGACCTCACACAAAGCGAGTTGGACTGGATGATCTTAGTGATATTTTCCAAGCTTAATGATTCTATGATTCTATGGACTCAGTATCTTTCAATGTCTTTGAGTTTATGCCAGCACAGACAAGATGCTTCAAAAGGAAATAAAACCTATCCAGTCATGATTATTTTATGAACTGCCCCCCTCTTCATAAAGTGATGTCTGGAGAGCTTTTCAGATTTCTGCACTTGTCTTGTGTTCTTCAACCTGTGAAGAAATCATCCTAGCTAGGCTTTCCAGTGGGCTTCAAAACATTTATCGACACTTTACGCTGTAGCAACAACTCTGTAAAGAATCATCGAAGATGTATTTTGCCAGCATTTGGAGATAACATTGTCTTATAATAAAAGGGTATAAAATCAAATCATAGCCGTATCCCATTTCGTAATGCACTTCACCATGAGGGAGAGTTGAACTCTCCATCTGCTGATCAGATATTCAGGACAGTGCTGCCTCATTCCCCTGCTGCTTTAGTGGCATGTGGTAGCAGTTTTGTAGGACAGGAAGTTTATATTATCTTTTCCAATTGAAACTTTATTAAAGTCTAAAAAGAAATTGGAATTTGGATAGGATACTGAATCTAATGTTACTTGAGCATTTTGAAAGATCATTTAAGGACCTCAAGGGATGACAAACTAGGCTGCCTGATTCCTCTAAACTATATGTTGATTTTCATGAAAATTCCCTTTACAAATACATTCCTGTTAAAAAGTGATGACTTCTTTTCCCACCTACTATCCAGTTTGAGCAAAATGCCACTGTGTTCTCCATTCCTCCTATATTTCCAGTAGTACTTTTGCAGTTTTCTGGGGAAGAAAAGGTCACAAACAGAACTGGCTCAAACACTGTAATGGCTTTTGTTTGTGTCTGGTTTTGACTTTGTCTAAGCAGACAGCCACCAACACTGCTTATCTCCAGAGGATGTCTCTTGTGGAAATGGACATGCTCTTCTGAGGCCAAGGGAGGAGCGGTGCCTTGCCTTATAGCTGCCTGTAAACTGTACTGCTGGGTGCCTGCCTGCTTCTACCTTGTCCCTGCATTCTGACAGTCTATGGTTGCTCAGTTTTTGAGGATAACAGTTTCAGTCCAAGCCAGAACCACTGTAAATCACATACTAAAAATGTTTTACAAGCCTGTGTGCCAAATGGGAAACATGCACACAGGGTGCATTGTTCGCACATGGCTGTAACTGCAGCCAGAAATAGCGGGAGAAGGGGAATGGGGCCGTGTAAAACTCAATGGAAACACTCTGCAGTCACGCAGTTACAAGACCACAGACCCCTTCACAGCTTGCTGGCTCCTTGCATCTGCATTTGGCTCCTAGGCCCAAGCAAAGATGCCCCCAAAGCATCCAGGAGCCAGACAAATTCAAATCCCTGGTCACTGGATAGAGGCTGCAGGTAGTGGCAGTGGGAGAAGGGTCAGCTTTGCCTGGTGCCTCAGGGCAGAGAAGGGTCCAGGCAGCAGGGAGTCTTGGGGATAAGATGGGTTTGAAGGATAGGGCATTTGAGCAGGAAGCAACAAATTGGCATGAGCCCCAGAATCAAGGGGAAAGCATCCTCAGTTAAGCAGACACGGGACTTAAGAAGGTTGTGCTTTTGGCCTGGTCCGGCTAAACCTTGTCTACTTGTTTTTTTTCAGGTGTGCAGACAAGGCCAGGGACTTGTTAAATGGGAAGCAGTAACATTATGTTTAACATAATTACAGCATTTATATTTGAAGAAGCAACTTGAAATAATTTTAGCTCTAACAATGACTCTGATATTTTAGACAGGCTTTTATCCATGCTCATGAGTCTTTCTTTTTTACCCCCAGGTTAAACTTGAACTTCATAATCACTGATGATGTGAAAAGATACAATTAAATAAATGTATTTGAAAAAAATTGTGTTAGGATGCTGCCAAGCATTGCGCAGGGCTCACCTCTCCTAACTCTTCCCTGGTGTTGCAGCTAGGCTCTCTTCCAAAAGTTTTTACACCTTGCATAGTTTTCTTGGCCTCGCTCAGAGCTCTACCCCAGTGAACAGCCATGGGAGATCCCACGATCTGCCTAGCTGGGATAGTAACATCTGAAATGACAAGGCGGTATGAAGTAAGTGAAACGTGATGAGTTTCAGACCTGGTTTGAACTCTGTGTTGAAAGACAGAGCAGGGCAAGGGAGATCTAGGCTGCCTTTGTATCTGGTAATGTTGGCTGCCTGTGCTCTTGCTGCTGCCATGTGTTGTTGTGTGCTGCAGAAGAGCTTCACATTCTGCAACCCATCCTCTACAGCTCCTGTGCCAGGGAGCTGAGCAGCTACCTCCTCCTGGCCTTGGCCTCTTATTTTGGTCTATTTTGTAGACTTTTGGATTTGGAAATCTAGAAGCCAAAGCCAGTCTTTAAAATAACCTTTACCCTATTCCACCCAAGGTTTTTATAAGGGCCGCTTGGTTGGAAGTTCAGTCAGCTGGTATGGCAGATGTGGTATCTTCAGCAGCCAGTCAGTGTGGATGTACTGCAGAGAGCAGGCAAGAAAAGAAATGAACAAAAGTATACTTTTGAGATAACCAATCCTGCCCTTAAGGGGAGAGAAGGAGTGCCTAGAGGCTGGTAAGAGTCTTTGCATCTACCTCATCCAGTCCCTGCTGAGCACGGATCCAACTGCAATGAGCTGCTCAGAGTCACATCTGATTGAAGTTTGCGTATCTCCAAGAACAGGAAGCCTGCTACCGTCCTGCACTCCTAGTGGTGAAAACACTTCTAATGGATGGCAGATCTTCCTGCTTTCCATCTTGTGCTCCTTGCCTTTTGTCTTCCTCCTGTGCATCCTGAAGAGGAGCCTGTCTCCATCTCTACCGTAACCCTCCAGCAGTACGGAAGGAACAGGGCACTTGGCTGGTTTCTCAAATGCAAGATGAGAGGAGTGAATAGCTCTGTAAAACAGCCTGTGTTCTGTACATGAAGAGAGTGAGGCTATGCTGATGGTGACAGTACTTTGCGTTGGAGAGTTCATTATTAATTGTGTTATCTAGACTTGAATGCTCTCTTTGTCGTGTACTAAACAACCGTTGTTTAACAATGCAAAGCACTCCATCTCTGGGTTAAAGAATATATCTGGGTTCTGTCTTTCATTAAATTTGTTCCGCTGTGTGTGCACAGCATTCCTTTCCACTTAGCCAGCCATCCTCGCAGGCTTTTAAGCCAGCAAGGCCATAAAAATATTTACATTTTTCTATAGTACTTGGTCTTTACATAGTCAAACAAATATGGCACTCAGTAAGAAGTGGTGGGACTTGGATTCAGCAGGAGCGTGTCATATGGGGCTGCAGAAGGCTGCCTTGGCTACTCCCATCTCTGCAGTGAGAGAATCATTCCCTTCGGAGCGAGGCTTCTTCACAGTTGCCCCAGAAAAAAGCTTTGGAGGGAAAGTTCTTTTTTAAAATCTAATTTAAAGACAGATGTGGTTCTCGTTCATGACAGGTCTGACACACTGTTAAAGCGTCATATAGCACAAGAAGGCTGCGAAACGTGGCCTCAGAATTGCTTCAGGCTGTCAGGATAGCATGAGAATCATCTCTCCTGAGTCAGTCTTGATCCTTCACCCATTCCCCTGCATGCTGCTTATGTCACCTCTGATTGATGGTGAAGAATCCGGCCTCTGGGGCTTATCATGCTGAGCAAAGGTTTTTACTTCTGTGAACATGTCTGTTGTTCTCTGTTTTTTGTACCCAGGTTTTGGAGCAATCGTGGCAGCTAGGTAAAAAGTGAGCTGGGTCCGAGGAACCAGGCTGCAGCACAGATACAATGAGGGGAGAGTGCTCCAGTCCTGCAGCACTGCCAGTGCTCACTGGCAGAGGAATTTCCTGGATCCAGATGTCCCAGTTCCACTGAAGTTCAGTGGATGTCCTGGATACAGGCAGTCTGTCACATACACCGTGCTGTTGCAAGTGAGTCTTAAGTAGCTGCAGGGATTTTTCAGCATGCCTGGGCACCTTGCTCCTGCTAATGTCAGTGTTAGGTAGCAGCCTTGGCATGTCTGAAAATCTCACTAGACATTTACTGCAATTCTACTCACTGCAAGCTTTCAGTCAGTCTCCTTTTCCTTTTGGCTGTACTGGGAACAGAGTGAACAGAAGTGAAGGCCCCAAAACTGCTGAACCTAGTTATCCTGAAAGGCAGAAAATCCTTTCCAGATATGAAGAAAAGCAGCTTATCTCTCTTCCTCTATTGCAAGGCAAAGCCTTTAACTGAATTTATATATGTATTTTTACAACTATGTGTATATATATATATATATATAGGTATACTTAAATGGCAGCCTACTTGTGTATATAATTTTGTGTAAGCAGTACACATTATGCTGCCCGAGGTATCCACTCTAAGTCAAGAACCTGTTTCTATAAAAGTCATAACATATTCCTCAGTTCTACAGGATAGATATATGAATACAATTTTATCTACCTTTACATAAGTATGAGACCTATGAGACCGCAGACCTATGTACTCATCACTCTCATTGTAATTCTTAAATATATCGTGTGCATGATCTATCTAGGATAGTTCGTAAGTAGAAATATAGATAGGTTTTGTACCTTGGCAAAGTGTTGGCGGGCTTTACAAAAGTATTTCTTTCTCTTTTGTTCTGCCACAGACACATGGCACAACTTCCCAAGATGTCCCTTGAGGAGCACAGGGAGCACTGCTGGGCGGTTCGTGCAGCAGGAGGCACACCTTGAAGCCATCCTGCTGCAGCTAGCACGGATGTTAAATGACTCTGTGCCAATCACACTACTGCAGCAAATGCCAAATGAATTTGATGTTGAACACTTACATTCTTACCTTTCTCAATAACTGTGTTAATATTACATTAATTATTCCTGAATTACAATGCTGTTGAATGTTGATAAAGCTGAATTCCTTCTTGAAATGCTGATCCTGACAGTCCTATGGCAGGCACTAAAATGTGCTTTCCAGGTCTTAAGGGAAAAGAGGAATATATTACTACTTCTGATGAGAGGACTTCAGAAGAAACATATTCTAGTCACATCTTGTGGAGCACTCGCCTGAATCCCTCTTGCTTTCAGTAGCAGACGCCTTTGCATAAGACATAAAAGGAATATACTCATCACTTTTTTAGTTAAAATTTTATAGTGATTGCTGATGTAGAATCAGCTCAGCGTGTATGAGCTGTTCCCCACAACAGCGGTGCTGTGTGCATACAGAGCTGATCCTTGCCTCATGAGAGCTGATGCACCAGAGCAAAGCTGGCAGGATGAACACGGAGAGATCACTTCTTACTGGTATCACCTTCTCTGCAGTTTTGGATCTGAGCTCTCTGACAACTCTTTTAGGACTCATTTCTGCACACCTACTGTTCACCTAAGACATCCCATGTGTAATACTGCAATTTTCATGCTAAACTGCATGACAGAGTGAGACTGCCAGATCTGGGAAATTACAGTACTTAATTTCCAAATGACTGTAGTAAAATCTTGGAAGAAAAGGGGTTTGGGATAAAATTACCAGAACACCCACATAGCTTGGGAAGTCCCAGCCATATGTAATTGAAACAATCTCTGTGGTGACCTCAAGTACTGAGACAGAAGTACCTGCACAGGCCAGTGCTCTGATGAACACTCATCAAAGGCTTCAGTAGCTGTGTTAATGCAGTGTCCCATCAGCTGCATTCAGCTAAGGTGGTCCAAAGCTCCCAGTCCAGGCTCTTTATAGGTGCTGTGGGAGAAATAAGCAGCTGTGACATCTCTCAGTACCTCCACACCTCCCCAAAGTCTGGATAACTGGTGTGGCAGGGGAAGTGACCAGAGGGGGAGGAGAAATGCTCATAAAATTGGTTTCTGTGGTGGCTGCATGAGTTGTTTTTTTGTTTAACCTTCCACCCTCTTGCACAAGCACCCAGTGTGGCTTTCACTGTAGGAAAAATGTTCCATCTCTCAGGGGGTGTTTGAGGTTTCTGTTTATTTGTTTATTAGAAAAGAAAGCATCTGGTATATGTGTACAAACATTAATGAATCGTTTAAAATATTCTCAGTGCTGCACTAGTGAGACTTCCAGCTATGAGAAGGAAACGTGATGGAAGGGAGCAGGCAGACCCCAAAGGACTGCTTTCCAAGCATAGGATGGGGTGAGAAATCTTTTTTTTGACTTCCTGCCTCTTCTCTCCCTCACCACCACTCCCAGGAGCATTTCCAGCTCTCCAAAACTCCCTTGGTGAGGACTTGGAGTTTAAATAAGTCTCCTTGTGCCTTCTGTAGAGAGCCTGACTCTGGCCAGTGGGTCTCTCTGAGAAAAGCAGTTTATTCCCAGAGCTGTGTGGGACCACAGATAGATGTGCTGCAGGGGAGAGAGAAGTGTGTGTCACTGTAGCTCTGTCCTTTTGCTGGGACAGCCAGTATCTGGAACCAGGAAAATCAATTAAAATTCTTAAGTATTCAAGAAGTAAGGCTCTAAGAAGAGTCAGCTGCTTTCTCAAGTGTTATAAGGAGCACAGCAGGCTGAAAAGCTCTGACCAGAGGAATGCTTGAAGGCCAGTGAACATGAGGATCCCTCAGAGGGCTGGGATTATAGGAACCTCTAGAGCTTCTTAACAGGAGGCAATATCCTGGTATAAATTGAAAATTTAAATCCCCAGCAGTGTAGCACTTGAAGAATTCTAGATTGGGTGTAAGCACTATTTTCCTGCTTTATATTTGTCTCTGGGAAGAAGTTATAAACTAAACCTCTCAATAGAAAGAGATATTCGTGTATCTGGTTACACTTTTAACCTGAGTTGTGTTAGAGGTAGTGTAATTATTTTCTGTTGGATGTTCCTCTCCAAATGAGCCTGCTCAAAGAGTGTTAGAACAAAAATTTTGCACCGTACACAAGGTGTTTGATTTTGCTCACTGCTTGATTTTGTCTATTCCTGCTTCTCAGGCCTTTACTAGAATCAACTCCAGCACCTGGGATCCTTTTAAGAAGAGGCAAGAGCACTGTGTGTGATCCAAGCATTCAGAATCCATGACACAAATCCTCAGATGTGGTGAAACCGCCTTTGTTATCACCAGTCTATAGGTAATAACTTTTGCTGGGGCCTTTTGGTGCCTACATTTTCATACTTTGGATACTTGGTCTTGTCTGAACTTTCTTCAGCCATTATAAGGGCTAGGATCTCAAAGTGCACTGAAGTAAGAGTGTATCACATGGCTGCTGGTACTGGCACTCCCAAAAAATGCCTACCATTTTCCATATCTTTGCCACAGAAACCTAGATAAAAGCCAAGCCCAGTCTGGCACTAGGAGCAACAGAATTTGCCTCACCAAAAACATCTGGATGTGCTTGATGGCAGTGGTGAGATAAAGAGAGCAGGGAACACTCTGAAATACATGCATTCCAACCTGTGGCTAAAACCCATTGCTCAAATGCTGAGAGGAGCTTAGAGATGCATGTTTTGAATCTTTCCTGTTTAGTTATTTGTTAAGAGATACTTAATCAATTATCTCCCTATCTTGGAAAGATTTTTTATTATTAAAAGCTACAAATAAGAAACAAACTGGGTCCAGATTCCGAGAGACAACAGTGGACCTATTACAGCACAATTTATGAGGAGGTTGCTTTGCATGCTTTCTCCAAACACCGTATAGAAGCAGATGTGTGCAGTTTCATGGGTTAGGGGGAGGAGAAGGGCTGCTTTCCCAGTGATTGCACATCCTGCTACAGCATTTAGTAGCAGGATGCATTTAGTAGCATTTAGCCTCTGCAGGAAGGTCCTAAAAACATCTAAATCCTAAGGTATATTGTGATTTCATTCCCTCTACAAAATAACCAAGTATAGAGCTAAGCCAGGAGGTAGGAGGGTTACACTGTGCATAGATGGCAATTCCACCTTACATAAGAGTCCCAATTCCTCCTGCTTCTCCCAGGGCTGGACACCTCCAAACTTACCCATACCTCAAATGGGAGCTGCATCTGCTGAAATGTCCCACTCACCCAGAGAGATTCTCTCTCTGTTGTTCCCTCTATGAACTCATTCATCTTCCCAATTGCTTTTTGTAGACAGCTGCTGAATCATGCACAGAAATGTTCATGGGAGGAAGAGAATTACTTCCTCAGGCAGTGCTAGCAGCAAAGGGCAGTCAAGGCAGGTTTCCCTGGTTGCTTCTGCAGAGAAGGCTCTGGGCATTGCTGGAGGCCCCTCTTAATGGCAGCTGCTTGCATTTGACAAAATATTTTTTTAATTTATTCTCATTTTAGATGCTTTAGACTGAGCTTATTTTCTCTTCCTTTTGGTAAGAGCTGTACTCACATTGTAGGAAACAGCTTCACTACTCTACTTTGGAGGCCCTTTCTGCTGCACCAGCATACATGTGTGCTTGCAGCCACTACATGCAGACCAGACCACTGCATCCCTCCATCTTCTGGCAGTGTCAGTGGACAGCTGGGTCCAGACCCCAGAATACGTATTTCAGTCTGCCAGGACTCTTCTGAATGATGGAGTAAGAAGAGCTGCAGCTGCTTCTACTGTGGTGGAGATTAAATATTTCCCAGAGACTGCTCTTGGGTCTGTTGATTGTACTTCTAAATGCTGCATGCACAATGTGGCCAGGGGGTTAGACCTGAGCCATAGAAAACTTTCTGTGAAGAAGAGAGGGACACCATCTCACATGGTTAATGAAGGGAGCAGGGTGCCTGGAATGGCACAGTGCTGCAGAGAAGTGTCTTGATGATTCTCTTTGTGCTGCTTGTGAAGCTGAAGAAGGACAGATGTCTGGGCAAAAGGTAGCAGATAGCCAGCTGAAGTGGAGTGAAGCCACAGGAGCTAGAAATCCGAAGGGAATAGCTTTGCTCCAGCTGATGGAAGGAGTGGGAGAAGGGATGTGTTTTCTTGCAGACAGGAGTGGCTGCTGAAGGGAGTGCAAGTCTGTGTTCCTGCACACATGGTGGTGTGATAATCAATCTTCTGTGATTCTGACAGGTACCTGCAAAGAAGCAGAAACAAAGATCACATGACAGTGATTAATGCATTTCTAGCTGTCAGACTAAGAATATTGGTAGTGGGTAAATAAGCACTAACCCCAGAGAAAGCTGCAGAGGGTTACAGTACTGGAGGGAATTGGAGCTCAGCACTTATTTACCACAAACACTTTCTCTTTTCTATTTCTTGTTTGAAACCACTCTGCTTCCACAACAGGAGGAGAAATTGATGCAGGATTTCTGAAATAAAACTATGCCTCCAGCCTAGGTTATACATGAAAAAGTGGTAAATGATGCAGCTAACCCCAGCCTGGTTTGCCCTGGACAAGATCTGGCATTGTTTTAGACACTGTGATACAGCAGAGCATCTGCAAAGGAGGAAAACAACTCTTGCTGTACTTCATCGCAGCTTTGGATAGCTTGAAGGTAACTGAAGGCTCCCTCACTCTGTGCAGTGTACTGCTGAATGCTTCAGCCTTGAAAGCCAAGAAAGGCTTTGTAGCTGCTGAGTGCCTGGTGTGTCTGCCATAGTAGGCTGTGCTCCCTTTCATTGTCACCATGCCTAGGGCTATCTGCGCCTTGCTCCCTGTGCAGCAACAGGATGTTTGAGGGGCTGTTGGGGAGTTGGGTAGGGCAGGACTTGGGGCAGGTGCTCCCTTAGGCTGCAGTAGCAAAAGGCATTTCTAGGGGATGGCAATGCTCGCTGCTGTGCTTCACACATGCTGGCTCCTGGGCTGAGGACGAGGACAGCACTGGCAGCCCTGGGTAGTGATGCCAGGACCTGGCACACTCAGCTGTGGGATGGAGCCAAGATGGTTGGGCTGGAGCAACTCTGGACATGCTTGGGAGCAGGATAACAGCCTGCGGAGGCTGAGATCCCAACCAGGAGGCAGCAGGCAAGTTGAGGCACCTCCGGGGCCAGGCAGCAGCTGAACAAGAGTTGCAGTTTTCAACTGAGGTGGCCAAATTCTGCCAAAATCTTGTTTAACATGCCTGTTGCATTTGCAGGTTTTCTTTCCTTTGTCAGAGTGGCAGCCTTTAATCTTGGTGGCTTGTGTTCCTTTTGTAAGTGGAGTTACGAATGTTCAGCCCCATTTAGAAGATCACTGATATATCTGAGTGAATGTTCCTGCAGACAACCACAGTATTCAAGGTACAGCATGGTGTACTCTGCCTGGTTCTCACATCAGTTTCCAAGCTGAATCCATGTACCTAAGGGCTGAGATGTCTGTCGATGAGGTTGTAGAGTTTGGTGGCTTTTTTCAGGGATGTTTTAATTGTTCAGGAAGTGCTGGGGACGGAGGGTGGCTGTAAAACTGTGTCAACCCTGATGGGTACGGCATGACCAGGCTGGGGTGTTCACACATCCCCTCACCTCCAGCATTCAGCACCACACAAGTTTACTGCTCAAGGATGGGCACAGAACCAGTATTTTAGGATTAGTTATAGTTGCACACAGCTGTCATGTATTTGCCAATCTTATTCTCAGTGGCTGAATTCAAGTGCTTTAATCCTTTTGGTTAATGGGAAGAAAAGCGGATGGCACTAGCTATGGCTGTCTCATGGATCATTGTCTGATCCTGCACTCCTTAATGCCCACGTCAAGGCTCTCTTCTGCCTCTAGCACTTCTCCTCCAGCCCCTGTTCCCCATTTTTTTCCTAACATGTTTTGTTTTGCTGGCTGTGCATTTCCTCAGAAATGCTCCTGGCTCCTATGCTACTTGCCTGTCGTTCACTGTGGCTGTTCTTCCCAGGAGTGCCACAAAACAAGCCCACCTCTCCTAGCCCCACTGTCCCACACTGGGCTCCCAGACTGAGGCTGCTGAGGCTGCTTCAATTCCAGGACCAAGCTCCGTGCCATGAGAACACAGAGCCACGTTCTTAGGCTGATATAAACTGGTGAAGCTCCATTGATGTTGGTCTACCTAATACAAGCTCAAAATACAGATGAGAGTAAGTGAATAATTCTACTGAAATGTAGCCAGTGCTGAAGCATACCTGTTCTGTGGGGATGCTGAGAAGTGAAAGACATTTCCACCCCTTTCTGGCTGATGATCCACAGCTGAGTGCAGAAGAAAAGCTGCGGTGTAATACATGAGTTAGTTTACCCTCTCTAAAATGTCACCAATTCTGTGGAGAGATGCAGCAGCAGTTTAGCAGCATGTAGCCCATGTGGCAGAGGTGCTCCTGTTATTTATATGGCTCCATAAGTGAACTCAATGCAGCCTATCCTCCAGCATTTCAATGCAGCTCACTCCCGAGCAGGGCAGCAGCGGGCTGCAACCAGCCTGGCAGTGTTGCAGGGAAAACCCCAACTGCTCCCAGGCCTACAAGGGGACAGTGCAGTGTCCCCCCAGGGCCACAAATGCTTGGCAGAGCAGCAGAAAAGAGATGGATTAAGTGCCAGGAGAGGGAAGAGGTTTCCCTCAATGTTCTATCCCTTTAATGTCTCTCTCCTTTCTGTCCACTATGGTTCTGCAAAAAGCATCCAAAGAGCAAAGCTTACCTTTCCTTATGCTTTCTTGCAGGAAAGGTGAGGAAAAGAAAAAATGTTCCATCTTGCAGCTTTGGATGTAAGGCACGGAGGTTAAAGGGCAGATCTGAAGCAGGTTTAGGCCTACGTAACCAGAAATGCCCCAGGACAGGTTCCCTTGAGAGGGAGTGGAAGGAGAAGGGGCTGACCAGCTCTCTCAGGAGGATTTTGCTTTGTTGCAGTGAGGTGCTATCCAGGGCAGTCACTATTCTGTACCTGGAATTGAATTAACATTATTCAGATTCCTCTTATTTCAAGGGGTTGCAATATCTGTGACATCTTCTGCTTCTTTTTTTTTTATTTTTTATTTTAAATATTTTCTCCTTTCTTAGGGGGGAGCCGAGTTTGCAGGTTCCGGGAGGCTTCTCACATGGTTGTGGGTAAAGACTGAGGCTGCAGGACTGTGGGCTGTGCTCTCCACCCTGAAGGGAGCAGAAAGGCCAGGTAGTTGGGCAGATGAGGTGGAGCAAGAGGCTTTTCCCAGAGTTGTTCTTGTATGCAGTCGTGGGGTTTTCCCAATGGGAAACACATCAGCAGCAACTAACTGCTGGGGTGGGAGTGAGCACTGCCTGCACTACAAAGCTACACCCTGGAAAGCAGTGCCTTGACCTGAAAGTGGAGTTTATTAACTCCAGATTTTTACAGCATAGCTGGCACGCCAACAACACTGTCTGAACGCAATGAATCTCTTGCAGATATAAACTAGGGGAACGCATCTCCAGTGCTGCGCCAGCCTGAGTCACGCGCGGCTGTTGTGCCAACTGCCAGCTGCTGAGCAGCAGCGAGCTCTTGGCTGTGCAACAGGCACTGCACACAGGGGCTCTCACCGGCTGCCTGACGGGCACAGCCAGATGGCAGCTGATTTGCTGAACACAGAGCACAGGTGCCTTGAACAGCAGACTTGCCTGTTACTTAAAAGGAAAGAGATTGCCTAGGGCTAATTGGTTGCTCAGCAGGAGGAGAAGGAGCTACAGGTCCTGCTTAGCTGCAGAGATGCCTTAGAGGACAGCTGTGGGATTTACCTCTGATGAAGGAAGTAGGGCAGTAGCTATCACTGTCCTAACCATCATGACCCTTTTCCTGCTCTGAGATGTCTAGAAATACATTTGCTGTGATATGTCTACAGCAGATAGAAAGGCTGGGAAGGCTACCTCCCACTGCTGCTTGCTTCTGTCTTCCAGCTGGAAGTAACCAACTGTGGAGCTGAGCTGGTAGAGTGAAACATACTAGGCTCTACACCTGCATGCCCACAGCATCATCTGTCTGCAGGAGAGGACCAGGGACTCAGCACCTCTTGTGTTTCTGCAGCAGGCTTCCACTCGCTCTGCAGGTTGAGGGCTTGAAGCCCCACTAGCCATAGTAGGAGAAGTCTTTTATAATGTGTCCATAGGAAAGGCTCAGGAGGGAGTTGGATGTAGCAAGAGCAGCTGGCAGAATGGAGAAAGCAGGAAACCCTCTTGCTGTGTTCCTTCTGTTGAATATAATGTCTCTCCTGCAAATACTGCTGGAGGTCCTTAGCATGTGCAGGAGGTTGGGGAGGTGAGTGAGTTAGTCCTGTCTCTTTTAAACAAGAGAACAGCTATGCGGCAGAATTTAGGTCAGATTGGAAACCAAAACTCTGAAAATAAACTTTTCTCCCCCCAAATGGTTCTGCAAAAGCCTCGTACTCAGGTAAAGCTTTATAATTGTTGAGCACTGAACAAAATTCAGCTGCTTCTAGGTATGGTAGGAATTGCTGGCTGAACGTTTTGTGCTATTGATGTGTGTCCTGAACTTTTTTTTCTTAAGTAACTGTTCATTTTGACCCTTCCGATTTCACTCTGAGCATGAACTTTTAATGGGGGCATGTTCCTGTTTGCCCCAAACCTGCAGACCGCAGTGTTTGTTTTTGATTGGAACTTTGTTGGCATTTCTGCCGAGCAAATACAGTTATCAAATGTATTCAGATCTTAAAATTCAAGTGAGAGCAGCTTATGTGGGTGCAGGGATGTGCATAGCAGAGAGAGGTGGAATAGAAGTTTGATTATTTTTCTTCCTTTTGTGTTGCAGGACAAACCTTCCAGAAAAATGAAGGTTCTGCCACATGTTTCCCATAACCAGCCAAATAAAATATTATGTTTTAAAGCATTCAAGGTCAGAGGAATAACTTGGGCTCAGCAATTTTTTCCTCCTCGCAATAGCTTCTGCTGAATGTGATCTTTAAAACTATGCATGCGGGGGGCCAGATCCTGACCCCCACTACATCTGCTCTGCATTGCTGCTGAAAATGCAGAGCAGGCAGAAAGCTGGCTTAGCTGGATTGCTGGAGATTACCCTGACCCAGTTTGTCAGCCGCAGGGCAGGAGCCTGAGCGCCGAGGCCAGGGCATGGCAGAAGGAGGGGATCTTGCAGTGACATCTGTGTGTCTGGGGACTCGTTGGGTGGGATTGTGGCTGTCCCCTGTTAGTGTTCCAGCAGTGGGGTGGTCCTTGGCTGCTCTCACAGCAGGGCTCCAGTCATGGGCAGCAGCCAAAACCCTGTGTTCCAGGCTCTGAGTTTTTCTTTAAGGCTTTGACTAGGTTGGCTTCTACAGCCTTTTTTTTTTTTTTTTTTTTCTTTTTTTTTTTTTGTTTTAAAATCCCTTTTTTTTTTTTTTTTTTTTTTTTTTTTTTTTTTTTTGGTTTAAAATTGATTTCTTCTCTTAGCAATAATTTGGCCTTGGCTGATTTATAAAATCTGCACGATTTAATAAAACGTCTGTACTGAGTTCACCTGTGATCATCCGCCTCTGGAATTCCAATTCTGCCTGTTCTGTTTTCTCACAAATTGACAGTGCTCTGAGCTTTCCTCAGAGGTGTGGACCCTGAAAGAGAGCACAAGGAGGAAATCTCAGTTTTCATTACAATGTAATATTATAAAACATGCTTCTTTCTTCTGTAATAATGGAGAAAAGATTGAAAACATGACCTGAATATATTCTTCAGGCTCAGTAACTGGAAAGCAATGAATAAAGAACCAGAAATTCACTGAGTTCTTCGTTTGCTTGGGTTTTTAAACTAGCATCAAGATTTTGGAGGCCTCATTTTCAGATTTATCATTTGAAACAGGCACTGCTGGGTCCTACTGAATACTGCAGGGCAGCTGTTCCAGATTGCTGTGCATTTTCCCTGCTCATCAGTCACTTAACCTGCGCAAGTTCCTTCTGCTTCTAACCCAAACCAATCTCTTCTAGATTTCATTTACTGAAGCTTGGAGAGCTCGTTTATGTGAGGAAGCTCCCTTTGAGACTCTTTGGGTTGCTTGTGCTTGCATGACCTGGTGGAGCAAGGATGGGAGCATTTCCCAGGAGAGAGATGTCTGGCCCTGTCTGCTCTGGTGCTGGTTGCTGCAGGATATGAGTGGCTTTCACTTCTCAGATGATAAATGGCAGTGTCTGGTAAAATACCAGCCTGCTAGGACCAGTAGGGTGGAAAGGCACTGCCCAGTTCAGCACATGGTATGTGATTTCAGGTGGTGGGATGGTACTGTTTCAGAGCACTGGTGTCTGCAAACTCCCCTTCTAGTATGCCCTGCTTTAACCTTACAATCTAGTAGAGCTGATACTTCTCAGCTTTGAGCAGCCAGCCCACCATGTGCTGTTGGTGGCTCCTGGTCAGGTTTTCAAGATGGTGAATGAGGAGAAGTGCTGACAGAGATGACTTTTCTCCTCTCTTCACTGTAGAGAGGTACTCTTTGGATGCATTTTAAGGTCGTTATGCCAGGATTTTACTGTTTCACCACTAGCCAGTAGCAAAGGGAATTGCATTTTTTCTCCCCTTCCTCTGCAATATTCCTGCAGGTTTTGTGCTGTTCCCTGTCCTTTTCGTGCTTTGTGCTGTGCATCCTGATCAAAGCCCTGTGTGGGGATAATGCCAGACCCTTGTTCCCTCCAGCATCCATCACTCACCTACTGGTGCAGGGAGATGTGGCTCCACTCTCCTCACTCCTAAGCATTCCCACTGCTGGCTCTGTTTCTCTACCTTCTGCTTTAAATAAGGACTTATCACAGGTCTGAGCTCATCAATCACACCCAAACTATTTTTTCAAGATTACTTTTATGATGTCTTCCTCCTGTAACTTTTTTCACAGCCCCAGCTCAGTTCTCAACACACAGGTTTTGTTTCTATGTAAGAATGGAACTGATAAAGCAAGAGAAGAGGGGAAATATGGAAAGACAGACCAGCATTGAAAGCAAAGTGTGAGTAGGGCACATTTAATGTTATACTACTTGGCCAGAGGACTGCTGGCAAAGATATTGCATTAAATGAAATAAAGGCCATTTACCCTAGAAAGTTAACAGGCATGGGACAGACAAGTAGGAGCCTTTTCGTTCTCTTGGGGTTTATTGTATCCCGCCAGCTGCTGGGGTTGCTTTCCTGCCCACAGCCTGGGTTTGCCCAGTGTTGGCCCCTGGCCTGGCTGGAAGTCCCAGGGGCATCCTATGAGACAGGAGGTTGTGATATGAAACCTCAGATTCTTTGCAGACACATTGAGGTGCCTGAAAGTGCAGAGTGGCGCTTCTTAAAGGACACTAAGTTGTAGGGAGAGAGGAGGAAAGTGCCCAGCTTGGGGATTGAGTCTGACCCACCTGGAGACTTTGAGAACTCCCCTCCCCCTTCTTCCCTTCTAGGACTCCTAAATACGTTGGAAAAATCTGCTCCAGAGTAATTATCACTTCAGTTGAGCATTTCTGCCTGCCCAGCATTGAGAAAGGAGTCTCGGCGAAGTCCCCTGTTGCCATGTGAAACTGCTGCCATAGCATGCCGTTACAGCATGAGGGATGCATGAGTCCTGGGAAGACAAATTACTCCTCCAGCTGCGTGTCTCAAGCTGATGTTGCTTTGCAGTGGGGCTGTCAATAGCAGCTGGGGAGCCTTGATCCTGGGAAAAGATATGTTGGTTACTTGGGTTGGTTTTAACTATTTAATGCTTTGTTGGCAGCCTGATGTGTTACAACACAGCTTGAAGATGAGATGGGACACTGTCTTGGAGCTTGAGGTCTGTCTGGGCCCAGGAAAATGGATACGTTTGCAGTGTTGTTTGAAAGCTGCACCGACCTGTAAGTCACTGTATTATTTACATAATTTTGTCTTTCTCTTTTACATCTGTATTTCAAACATCCGTTATGAGGCAGTACTGCTTTTAGTGGTGAGCCAACTTTTTCTTCTAAAACACATGTTCCCTAAAGCCTTAGTGCTTTATTTCCTTTGTTCTGATTTATTGCTGTTGCCTTACCACATGTGCTAGGCACAGACAAGAAAAACTTCCCAAACCAACACAGCAGCCCTCTCTACTCTCTTTCCCAGACCATATACATCAGGATTAACACACTGGGTTTATTATATCAAGTGATTCAACAGTGAACTAATTTACCTTTAATTTCTTGGCTGCTTCCAAGTAGAAATGCTGATGGAGAGTATCTGTAGGTTAATCGTGTGCAGCTTGAGCTAAAGCCCAAAGAAAGTTGCTGTAGGAAACAGAAAGTTGGGATACAAGCTAAATTTGGAGGAAGAACAAGATTTAAAAAAAATAATAATAAAAAATTAGGTTGACTGCATTTGTAAATCTAACAAAGGATTTTGTGAGTATCAGTTTTTATTTTTCTTCAGTCAGGACCCAAAATGGCCATCTCAAACAATGAACCCTCTTCCATGAAAGACTCTAGGATATCTCAGGGTAAGCTCCAAGCAGTAGCAGTTGCTGATCGCTTGATCAGTTAAAGAAATGTGGAGGTGCTTGAGATAGATAAATTGATAAATTCTAATAAAGGTGGCTTTCCTGGAGGTTGTTCAGCCTTGACAAAAGCAAAGGGCTACATTATTTTCACTGATGTTTATACTAAAGAGAGCATCGCCTTTTCTTCCTTGTTACAATTGCAAAGATTAGCCTGGTGGAAGGGCAACACAAAAATGTAACAGAGGATTTGAGTGGCTTGCAAATAGGTAACTGCCACCAAACTCGACAACACGGGGATGAAGCCCCTGTCTTCCACAGACAGATATTTTGTGTTTGCACTGGCTGTGCTTCCAGAGTGCTAGCATACTTTTCCCTCCAAGAACACCATTGGCTTTAGCAAAATCAAACTGACATTCTTCATCTTTTCCTAGTGAGGAAACAGATTGCGTCTCAGTGCTTTGTGAGCACAAAGATCCAATAAAACTGCATGATTGCAAGGGAAGGGATATCCTGACAGAGAGGGAACGCTATTAATATTTATCTTCTTAATATTTTCTTTCTTTCTGTAAACCAACCCAAAAGCAGATTGTGCTGTCAGGTATCCTCTCACTTATCGCTGTTCAAGCTGCTTTTCCTTGCTCATTTTCTCCCTTTGAGGCATGCTATTGATGTGAAATTTGTTGTCATATTCAGGCCTGTTAACTGTGCTAGTTAACAAAGGAAAGCATTCAAAAGCTGGCTTAGAGAGATTTTTTCCCCTCCTTTTTAAATGGAAACCAGCTTCCCTAGCAAACCCTAGCAAAATATTAAAGAATCTGCTCCCTTGAAACCAGTATGAGGCAACAGCAGCAGTTGCAGCTCATTGCAACATCTTGTCTTGCTAGATGGAGGCACACTGTGTTACAAGTGGGGCTGCTAACAAAACTTCAGTGTAAGAGCCCTTCTGTGATCTGTCTGGTTGGGACCTGCAAACTTGTCTGAGCTGAGCTGAGGACCCAGTTTTGCTTGGTTTTCATCACAATTATCTTTCCAGCTGTAACACCAACTGTAAGAGTACCAAAGTCCAGTGAACAACTGGAACCAATATGGCATGTGAGAGCTTTGGAGGCATTTTCAAGGAGAGAACATTGTTTTTGGGCAGGAGAAAGTCAAACCCCACTTGCCTAGTTTAAACTATTCACGAGAAGATCTTTCTCAGAAAGATTTAAAAGCATGGAGCCCTTTTTTGTTTTCTTAGAAAACAGGAAATGAGTTTCAGCCATGCTGTTAGCTGATTTCTTAGGTGACTTACTTCCTATGATAACTTTTGGGGTCTGGAATGTACAGAAATTATCTGAAGGCATTTTCAACACTTCAAAATTAAGCTCAAATTGTTGAAATTGTGCCAGCATTTAAATGAAAATTATTTTCTCTAAACAAACACTTGAAAACTTTTGTACTTTTTTTTTTTTTTTTTTTTAATTGCAAGCACATTCTTAACTCAAACACCTTTGCTCTGTGGTTTCTGGAGTATTCAGCTTGCACTGCTAAAACCAGATGTGCTAAGGATGTAATTGAACTCTAGATCTTTGGGTAAAGACTAGATGAGCCAGAAGGGCTAGTTTTTTGCCCAGCACAGACACATAAGTAGGTGTAACAGCAAATATCATTCCTGCCTCTGTGCTCTGAGATGTCTGGGCAGCAGTACTGGTGCAGATTTCTGCTCTGCAGAGAGGGTTGAAGCATGCGGCCAAGCAGCCAGGTCCTATGCAGCTCATGGCTGGAGATGGGATCTGGCCAGGATGTTTGCTGCCATGCAGGTGTTCTGATATTCAGGGGCTCCTCTTGGAGAGCCATTGCTGTCCTCTGGTGGGCTTTCAGCTCTGCTAGGGTAGGGCTGCACTGCTGCCCCAGGCAGATGTTTGGTTGCAATTGCTGGGCTGGTAGCTGGCCGCAGGAATGAAAAATTAATCTAATGTCTATAAAAGAAGTGGCTGAGAGTTTCTGTCATTTCTTATGTTGAGTTGAGAGAAGAATCAGAGAGTATCCTGAGTCAGAGGGAACCTCCCCTGACACAGCTCCATGCTGTCGCTGTCACACAGAGCAGAGCTCAGCGCTGCCCTCCGCTCCCTGTGAGGAGCTGCAGCCGCCATCAGGCCTCCCCTCGGCTCCTCTGCTCTGGGGGGAGAAGAAGGGAAACACACCTAGGTAAAGGAGGCTGACCTGGTAAATGCCAACTAAGGATGATTTAACAGATATCATCTTGTCCATGTGTAGTGAATGAAGGAACCTGTGAATGGTCCCCTCGGCAGCATGTTACTTGCTGTTACTAACTGCAGCTCTGGTGGGTTAGCACAACTGGTCCTTCCCCAGACATGAGCTGCTGCTCAGCCACAGGTCAGCAGTCTGTGCTGGTGTCAGGGCAGGAAGCTAGCTCTGTCGGTGTGCTCTCAGGGGGGCAGAGCAGAAAGCTTCCTTGCTGGGAGTTGGGTGGCTGTTCATCTTTCAGATGCCATTAGTTCTACTCACGCCATTAGCAAACACTTCTACCAAGTGCTGCTGTTCCTTTGCAGTGAAGGACATGTAAATGCAAGGGACCGTGCAGTGTCTGAGATCTCGAGATTCTGACACAGTCCTCCTATTGGATGCTCTGTAATTATCTTCAATTTAACACATTGAAGGAGGCTGCTCATAAGATCAATTCCATGTTTAAAAAATATTCCTGCAATAACTATTTACAATAGCAGTAAAAAGGGAAATGTTACAAGTTTAAGTAACCTTAAATCTAAAGTGATCTAAATCACAGTGATCTAAAGAAGCTACAAACTAAACAGGGCTGCATGAAACCCTATGGACATGGCAGTCCTTCAGATGGATGGGATGCTCTTTTCCAATACGTATTGCCACAGATTGTGAAGGTAATGCTGTTCCTCTCAGCTTGCTTCTGCCTACCTATCCATGCCAGGATCAAACTGTAAATGTAAAAATATGAGAGGAGATAGGATAACCCAGAAGCTTATGCTGGCTTGGAAAAGGACGTGGAGCACATCCAAATAAGAGTAGTCTGGAAAGAGTTTGTGATGGTCTGTTATTTCATTATTAGCTAAGCAATGTGAGGTTTCCTTTTCAGATGAGCGCATTTCATCTGTTGCATAAGATGGCAATTACTCCTTGAGAGATGCAGCAGTTCTGCTAATTTAATGAGTTAGCCTTGCAAATTAACTTACATCCGCCATTGGAAAGGCCTTTTTCAAGTCCCACAAGCATGTTTTAGACCTCTTGATACAGCTAGTAGCATGCTAGTCTTTCACAAGCAGAAAGGCCTTCAAAAGTATGCAAGTTATTGCTGGCATGTTGTATTCTTGACATGCCAAGGAAACGTGGGTTATTTTCACACAAACAGGCCAATCAAAATGGTTCCTTAGCAAGCTCTGTAAGAACTCCTGGGCCCTGAGAAAGTAAAAGGCATAAGAAAATCACTGCTCCTGAATTAATTTTCCTAGATGGATTGTGCTGTCACACACAGCAGTGTGTGTGGGTAGTTCATTTGCACTGGCTAAGACCTCTGATAAATTAAGGGATAGTAAAGGATGAAAAGGAAAGAAAAAAAAACAAAAACAAAGACACAAGGACTAGGAGATAATTTAGACATTTGATCTTTTAAGTATTTATCATCAAATGCAGACTTTGACAAACTGCAGACACTTTTGGAAGTTCTTTTTATGAGCTGTTAATTGGCAGGTGAATGTAGGTGTTGAGAGGAAAGGGAGCTCTGCTGAAAGCCTGGGGCGGTGCTGAAGCAAGGTGACTGGAGTGTCCTCAAATCTCCTGACACTGCAGCAAACAGGTTGAGCTCTACAACTACAAATGTTGGAGGCTGTTTTGAAACTCCCTATTAAGGACTATGCATGCTGACTGCAGTATCTAGGCGAAGGCAATTGGGTATCACAGCTGTGGCCTCAGCTCAGTGTTTCTTTCTGAGCTGGTGTTACTGTGTAGGGTTCTTATTATGTATTAGGTTACCAAAACCAAATTATGACACCCACCAAGGCTGAGTCCTATGATTAATGTTAAAAAAGTAGAGCCTGGTCTTGGCTTGCACTTTTCTTTTGCAGTGTAGGAAAACATTCTTCCACATAGCCAAGGGGATTTTTAACAGCAAAGAGATGGAAAGCAGACATAAACATTGGTACTTTCTGCACACCTGCATTCTTAGCTGCTCCTTTGGGTTGTATTTTTACAGGTTTGGTACCCATGCCAAATTCGGTTGTTGTGCTTGCTGCTTGGGCTTGGAGGGGACACAGCCACCTACTTCCAGCTTTGTTTTGGCCCCACCAGTCATTAAGGCTTTCGTAGATTAATGTGAACAATTACTGATAACTGTGTTTTTTCTCAGGGTGAGAGTAGTTCTTTTGGAAATACTTCCTCGTAGGAGAAACATCAGGGAAGAGGCTACTTCTGTGCCATCGAGCTCCCCTACAATCCCCTACAATCTGCTATGTTGATGGCTAGTGCAACACAGCCGTAGAGACAGTGCTCTGTCTTGGACACAAACCACTGACACAAAAGCTCACATTGCCTTCCCTTTTTCTTTTTTAACCTTGCATTTAAAAATTGTCCTTTTCTCTCTTTTGGTGAGCAGCAAGAAGGAGCCCTGATTGTGGTGCTGGCACAACAGCAGATGGCAGGGGAGCAAATCGAGGCAAGCACCTCTGATGCACATGTGGACAGCTGATACTGCCGTTTCCTATTCTTATCCTGATTCACTACTCCTGAGAATGTGAGCTAAGTTTTCTTTTTCTTTCCGAAAAGAACATTTGGCAGGGTAACGTTCAGCATCACAAGCTGGCCTTGAGTTGGGGTTTGCTCCAGCTTCCCTGCTGAGCCTCTGTGCACAGCTTGCTTCTAAAACATGGCTCAGGCGCTGCTAGTTGCTGTGCTGTCACAGGGGCTGATCCAGCACAGAACCTGCTTGGCATTCTTGCAGAGAAATTACCCAGTGCCGCAGCTCACAATTTATAATTGATTGCATATTAATATCCAAAAAAGGCAATAAAATCCACTCTGTGTTTTTACAAAAGGAAAAAAAAAAAAAAAAAAAAGTACTACAAGCCGAGCAGCAAAAATGTGGAGAACTCCTTGGCAGGCGCAGAGCTGTGCACACTGCTGCTTCTCCCTTAATTACAAGCAGTTTAAAACCATCTCCTTCCTTCAAAGGAGGATTTTGCTTGGTGTTTGCGTTAGTTTTAATCTCACGAACGTGATGCTCTCTTGGAACGTGTCCCTCGTGCTGTAACAGCAAGACATGCTGCCGCTTTTGTCCCTGCCACTTGGGAAAGGCGCAGCTCCTGCTGCTTGTCCCTGCGGCCATGGGGCTGTTGATATCAATACACCACCCTTTAAAGGGAAAGAAAACAGAACAAAACCCAACAGCAGCTTTTTTTTTCCCCGCAAAAAGTCCCCTTTTATTTGTTGTGTTCGAGCCAGGCTGTGCAAGTGCTTCCTGAAAATGGGTGATTTAAAATGTACTGCACTGCATTGTAGAGGAAAGCTTGTTATTCAGCATACTAATTATTTCTGACTCCCTGTATTTATGGAATGCCATGTAATAACTAGCTCACCACAATGCAAATAGCACAAAATCAGCGCCTTTTATCATTTTGGCGCTTTAGTGCATAAACATATTCTAAAGTCTCTTGGGGGAAGGGGGAGGAGGGGAGTTACTGGGAATTAAATAATGTTTTTATGACTTCTAAAACGTGGCACTGAATTTCATAATCTGTAACACTCCGTGTACGTAGTCCACGTTATGCATTTTATTAAGTCTCAGTGGCTTACACTGCAAAGGTCAGCTGCAAAGAGAAGATGTACAAAGGCTGTTTTGTGGAATGGGGGGAGCATCCTTGGGACAAGTTGTAATTTCATACCTACGCCATGCTGGGACACCAGAACTTATCCCCAGCTGCTTTTGCTTCAGGAAGGATGAAAGCTGGGTTACAAAGCGTAACTAACTGAGGCTTTGTGGCCAGCATATATCACTAGAGGGTGAGTCTGGGGTTTGTCAAGCCCCAAATGAATGACCCACTACCACCAGAGTAATGCAGAAGTCTGAACATCCACAGACGGTAACTAGGAGCAATTGAAGTATGAAGTATGGGCTGCAGCTCCAGGTGAGTTTCTGGGTACTTCCATGTGGTCTCCAGGAACAACAGGCAGGAGTTTCCTACAATGTGCAATTCCATAAAATACTGTCCATAAAACCAGGAGTTATGGGCTTCCTTGTAAGATTGCTTGATACTACAAAGAGTTGTGGATCGTATGCTTTGGTGCTGGGAGAAGTGTCTGCTGACAGTAGTTATCTAGCATCCTGCTGGTAAGAGGCAGTGTGGTCTTGGAGCACATAAACCTTCAGAAAACCTTAAGTGACATTGAAAATTAGAGAAAGCCACAGCTGCTAGTTGCAGTAGATGCTGGGCAACTGAGCATGTTGGTGGGTTTCTCTCACTGTGTGACAGGGACTAGCCTGGCTCATGGAGCTAGAGTTAGCAGCCTTGGGGAGGCTTAGCAGTGCTTTAGAGCTGCCAGCTCCTTGTGCATGTGCACAAGCCCAGGAAAGGGCCCTGGTGGATCCAGCTGGGTCCTGCTTAGTCTGAATTTACAGCTCTTGGCAGACTTGGGTGACGTGCCATTTCCTCACTGCTTTACCTGTGGGCCTTAAAAACTGCAAGGAGTGTGATGTAGTGTATGTTCTGCTGAAACTGAGGAGTTGATTTTCCCTTTCTATGTTAAGATATTGCTTTTTTTCCTGCATTTCAGAAACAGACTCAGAATCTTCAGGCTCTTTAACCATATCACATTTTCCTAAACAAAAACCTCATGGAAAGTGAGGTTTTGTAAATGATGCAGAAGTGAAGTAATGATATTTATCGTTCCAAATGTGCAACCACTCTGACTTCCTTCTCAAGTGAAAATAATTGGATCAACAACTGATACTGAGGGAGGAAGGAGGCTTTCACTTCCCCTCAAGACTCCATATTGTATTTTTTTTCTCCAGATTATCCTATAAATAAAAATAGTCATTAAGATACAGTGGCTATAATATCCAAGGATAAGAATTTGAGATGCATTGAGAGATGCTCAGGAAATTGATAAGTCTTTAGGAGAAAAAAATCCTTGATATCAATTTCCTGATTCAATACTGAAGTCTTCCTATCATACGAAAAGTAATATGATTGTCCATGGCTCTAATAAAATCTCGATTTTTCTACCAAGCTTTCATCTATAAAAATCAAATTTATCCAGCATTAGTCTGCATTTTGAAAGAAATAGGTTTTTCTCAATATGATATTAATCCGTTATGATGCATTAATATGGGAGAACAATAATTTGTTGCGTTTTCTTCAAACAGAAATGATCAGCTGGGAGATAGGAATAATAATTGTCTTTGTTCTTCATTGTCACAGGCCATTAGCTAATGAATTTAAGTTGTTCTTGGCTCTTGCTCCAATAAGAAAACTACATTAGAGATCCTGTAGCCTCAGTGTTATATAAAACCTTTCTGTGGGTTTTATTTTGGTCTCACTGAGGTGATTCTGCAGTGCACTGAGAAATGCATCATGACTTCGCAGCAAACAGTGAGGTCAACATTAACTGATGTAATGGGTCTAGCAAACAGAAGTCCATCTACAGTTAGTAATGTTGCCACAAGCTACAGCTTCTTCATTTGGTTCCTTCTAACCAAAAAATTCTAGGGGGAATGGCTTTAAACTGGGACAGGGGAGGTTTAGATTAGATATTAGCAGGAAGTTTTTCACACAGAGGGTGGTGACGCAATGGAACAGGCTGCCCAAGGAGGCTGTGGATGCCCCATCCCTGGAGGCATTCAAGGCCAGGCTGGATGTGGCTCTGGGCAGCCTGGTCTGCTGGTTGGTGACCCTGCACACAGCAGGGGGTAGAAACTAGGTGGTCACTGTGGTCCTTTTCAACCCAGGCCATTCTATGATTCTAATTTAGCCAGGCTTTTCATGCCTGTTTTTGTGACTGTTTCAGGTTGATCTTTTGGGTGGGAAGATTTGCTTCTTCAACTCTTCTAAGATTGATGGTAGGAAAAATAAGTAACTTCAGCAATGCTTTAAATAAGCAACAGGAGCACATGACTGTAAGTTGCGCCATCCCATCATCTTTGCTGTTTCCCCTCTCAATGAGAAGTCTGACACAAGAAAATCCTGTAGAGGAAGAAATGCTTTTCACTGTCCTGCAGAAATCCACTCACCTCCTGGTCATGGGATCCCGTACAGTGTATCCCATACAAATGTGCAGCAGAATTTATTTTGCAATCATTCCTTTCCCAACAAAATGATTTTGGTCTGCTGGAAGGCAAGTGCATTTCAAATCACAAAAACTAGAATACAAGTCTTACCCTTCTAATTGATTGTAGCATGTCTTGGCCCACCACGAAGTGTGTGAGAATGTAAACCCTACATTTAAAGGTAGGTGATCATCAGTACTCTTTTGTTGCAGAGCTGACTAAGAGGTTGTATAAGATAACCTTCGGCAGAGCTGGAAATGGACATGACTTTTGGACCTCGTGTCAAACTACTTCTCTGCACCATGTTGTTCCTGTGCCTGGCTGGCACCACCACTCCTTCTGCAGACCAGAGAACATGGGATGGCCTCTTCCAGCAGCTCCTCCTCTCCCAGCCCTTCTAGGCCCCTTCAGCAAGAGCTGGGTTCTGCCTCTGCCTGGTGGAGCCACAGCCTTGCCAGCTCAGCTTTGGGATGCAAGAGCGCTGTGCTGAAGGCAGGTGCCAGGCAGCAGCCATCATCCATTGCCCTAAACCAGCAGTGCTTAGAGCTTTGCTGACAGAAGCTGATACACACTACAGGTAAATTCAACATGCATGAAAGGACTCTTGTTCTTCTTCAGCATAAAAACAGATCATCAGACAAATTAATCTCTGATAGCTTTCTTTTCAACAGCACTGAGGTGTTATTTTTCTTGGGCTTTGCGAGACGTCCAATTTATCTGTTGTTCTCCTAAACAGACAGATTGGCTAATTTGGATGATACAGGATGTTTTATCAGGAAGAAAGGCTGAGATGCCCTCACCAGCCTTTTGCTGTTGTTGTGTATGTCCTTGCTGAGCTCCAGAGCGCTGGGTAGTGATGGAAGGGAAGTATACCTGTGGTGACTGTTTAAGTTTGTTTTTTAATTGTAGCTCTATGGTGTTGTAAAAGCATTCATTCCTCCCAGGCATATAAGATTCCCGAAACTATTCAGAGAAAGAAATCTGAATGTCCCTTCCCAGACTGAGCAGGAAAAACAGCTGACTAGCTCAACCTCCTCCTTCAGCTGGGACTCACTGAGCAGTCTCCCACAGGGGCAAATGGTGGGTAAGGCTGTTTGTCCTCCATCAGCCAAACACTGCCGTGATCTGGCAGAATGAGCCCTGCAGCCCATCTTTTGTGAGCTCCGACTTGTTTCTTCCTAACTATGCATTGGACCAGTCACTCCTTAACTCATCTTGGAGATATCCAAGGTCAGGCTGGACGGGGCTCTGAGCAATCTGATCAAGCTGTAGGTGTCTGTTCATTGCTGGGGTGTTGGACTAGATAAAGGGCCCCTTCAAACAATTTTATGATTAGTGCCAGGATGGAAGGGCTGAAGGCCCATTCTGTGCTTTGGAGATCAGCTCTCTGTGGAAGCAGAGAGCACTGCAGGCGTTAGTCG